GGCGGGTTTTGAACTCTGGGTCTTTAGTAGAGAACAGACTACCGGACGAAAAGCTCACTACATAGCACTCCGCTCCTTCGGGCCTGGGACACAGACACCGGATATTGTGTCCTTTGTAAGAATTCCTTCCCTCCAAAATGGCCTAATAACTATGCTGCCAGCGAAGCGAAGGAATATAAGTGGACTTTTAGGGAGCCTGTGATGCTGTTCTGTGTATGGGCACAGGTAGGATTAGTATTTGCCGGCTAAGTACATCCGAAAAGTCCTACTGCCAAATAAGGCATCAGTGCTAGGCCCCCCAGTTTAGGGTATAGTTGAGAGGGGTAACGAGCGAAGAGTACGTTAAAGAGTTCTTCAGTTGCGGAGACAGTTCCGATGAGCAGGGCTTTAGAAAGTCTACCAAAAGTGCATGTTTTGTATGCATACATGATAAATAAGTACATCAGAGCGTGGGGTAGACACTCTTCCTAAACTGCTAGCAGCACAATTAGGGAATTTATGCATGAGTAGTGGGCTAAAAAGCAGTAATATGAGAACTTCATTTTGAGAGTGAGTATTGTGGCTAATCGGATTATGAGGCTCGCCTCGAACATGGCCAAAGGCAGCGGGAGGATTTTATTTTTATCTGTACCATGAGCCAAAACGGCTGCCGGATAATATGGTGGGTGTGTTATGGAAGTGGGCAATGGGCATCGCATGGTGTAGCATAAGTAATCACACGAATCCAGTAGATAATCTCATTGACAATCCCACTACAAAAAAGTGATATAGGAATGGCGTAGGCAGCGAGAGCATTTCATTTTATCTGTACCACGAGCCAAAAACGGCGGCCGGATAATATGGTGGGTGTGTTATGGAAGTGGGAAATGGGCATCACAAGAATCCCATAGATAATCCCATTGACAATCCCACTACAGAAATGTGATGTGCAAAATGGCGTAGGCAGCGGAAGCATTTCATTTTATCTGTACCACGAGCCAAAAACGGCGGCCGGATAATATGGTCGGTGTGTTATTGAAGTGGGAAATAGGCATTACAAGAATCCCATAGATAATCCCATTGACAATCCCATTTCAGAAATGTGATGTGCAAAATGGCGTAGGCAGAGGAAGCCTTTCATTTTATCTGTACCATGAGCCAAAACGGCGGCCGGATAATATGGTGGGTGTGTTATGGAAGTGGGAAATGGGCATCGCATGGTGTAGCATAAGTAATCACACGAATCCCGTAGATAATCTCATTGACAATCCCACTACAGAAATGTGATATGGAAATGGCGTAGGCAGCGGGAGCATTTCATTTTATCTGTATCATAAGCCAAAACGGCGACCGGATAATATGGTGG